TCCTTCCTTCCTTGCTTCCTTCCTTCCTTCCTTCCTTCCTTGCTTCCTTCCTTCCTTCCTTCCTTCCCAGTGGTTAGAATGCAGTATTGCAGGCTGACTGCCCACTGCCAGTAGTTCGATCCTGACTGGCTCGAGGTTAACTCAGACTTCACTGATGTCTGACTCTGAAGGCAGCTGATAACTGGCATACGGCTCTGGCTCCCTCTCTGCCTCTGACACAGAGCCCTCCTCAGAGCCTTCCCCAGACTCCAGGACTGACCCGTGTTCTTCCCCAGCCTCTTCACTGTCCGAGTCTGCCACCAGATCTGCTGGACTCTGGCTGGCTACAACAAGCAGTGATCCCTCAACCTTTGTGGCCTGGCAGCCCAGCGCAGTTGCCGGAGGACCAGTCCACACAAGTGGTGGGCAGGTGCATATGTACAGGCAAACACAGCTCAGGTTGAGCTGCACAAACGTATGTATACATGCACCAGCCTCCTACCACTTGAACAAGTTGAGCAATGTGTACATGTGTGGGCCAATTGTGATAGACCATATCTCAATAGTGGGCCACGGCCCAGGGCGGTTGGGGCCCCCTGATGTACCACAGCTGCGTTCCTAACTTAAGCATGGAGAGACTCTCTTTGGTGACTCCGATGGATTGCTAGCTCTTTGTCAAGGCTTTAATAAATGCCAGGCAACCGTTACTTTTTGTCAGAGTATGGAGAGTTAATGACTGGAAGAGACATGGCAACTGAGTCAGTTTGGAAACTGTTTAGAAACTTGCTGGAGACAGCTAGGAGCCTGGGTGTGGCTTAGCTTTGGAGCTCTGAGTCTGTGCTGAGCTCTAAACTAATCAGCTGCTCTGAAACTGAAACTCTTCTCTGCTTGAATTTGCTACCACATTGGAAAACCTGCTTTTGGTATTGTATATTTACTTCTTGTGTTGTATTATATATAAAGGGAAGTTAACGAATGCTGCTGAATCAGTTACCTGCGTGTGCTTTCTGGGTATGATTGCTGCAACAAGCTCTTTCTTTTTGGGTATCCCTAGACCCTTCAGAACCATTATCACCCGGACGTTGCCAAAGCTGCGGAAGAAATTAACCTGCCTCTCTCTCAGATGGAACAGGATTTGTCCGAGATCCTAGAACTGACATCCTTTGAGGTAACGATGTCCCTAGGGACAAGACTTCTCTACCTTGGGACCCTCTCCAGTTGAGTGGTCCTGTAGTTACCATTCTAGCTGGGGAATTTATTTATTTATTTATTTATTTGTCAACAAATCGTGGTCGCCACGATGTAGAAAAGATGTGGAGACTCTAGAAAGAGTGCAGAGAAGAGCAACAAAGATGATTAGGGGAGTGGAGGCTCAAACATATGAAGAACGGTTGCAGGAAACTAATCAAGCAGAGAAGCAACTTAGAACTGAGGAGAAATTTCCTGACAGTAAGAACAATTAATCAGTGGAACAGCTTGCCTTCAGAAGTTGTGAATGCCCCAACACTGAAAGTCTTTAAGAAGATGTTGGATAGCCTTTTGTCTGAAACGGTATAGGGTTTCCTGCCTAAGCAGGGGGTTGGACTAGAAGACCTCCAAGGTCCCTTCCAACTCTTCTATTGCATTGTATTGTATAACAAGCACAAGGAAACAAGTATGAAAACACGTGAAAAAATGGCAAAAATAAATGGATACAAATAAGCAAAACATAGGCACAAACCCATAAAAATAGTACATATCAATGGGGACAGTAGGACAGGGACGGTAGGCATGCTGGTGCTTTTATGCATGCCCCCTTTATGGACCTCTTAAGAAATGCATAAGATTCACAATAGACAGCTTAAGGTCAAAGGTATGGGGGTTAGAGGAATTAACAACAGGATGAGGTAGGGTGTTCCACACATTTACTACTCTATTTGCAGAAATCGTTTTTCCTGCAATCAAGATTAGAACGGATTGCATTTGGTTTATCTCTGTCGATAGCCCTTGTGTTATTGCAGTTGAAGTAAAAGTAGTTATTTACAAGTAGGACGTTGTGGCAGATTATCTTGTGCCCTAAGCTCAGGTCGGAATGTAGACAGCGTAGTTCAAGGTTATCCAGGCCTAAAATTTCAAGGCTGGTGGTATACGGAATTTTATGATGAGCAGAGGAGCTGAGTCTTCTTCTTTAAAAAAAAACAGAAACCGGGACCCTCTTTAGGTGCCAAGGTGGCGCAGTGGTTAAATGAAGCACTGCAGGCTACTTCAGCTGACTGAAGTTCTGCAGTTCGACTGTTCAAATCTCACCGGCTCAGGGTTGACTCAGCCTTCCATCCTTCCGAGGTGGGTAAAATGAGGACCCAGATTGTTGTTGGGGGCAATATGCTGACTCTGTAAACCGCTTAGAGAGGGCTGAAAGCCCTATGAAGCGGTATATAAGTCTAACTGCTATTGCTACTGCTAATGCTTTAGTATGTGAAATGCACTGTGGGTTCCAGGCAGGTGAGCAGTACTCAAGGATAGGTCTGGCAAAGGTTTTGTAGGCCCTGGTTAGCAGCACAGCGTTACCAGAGGGAAAACTATGTAAAATAAGGCTGACAACTCTGAATTGCCTTTTTGGATTCAGTTCTGGGAGTTGGAAGTCCTGAGATTCTAGAAGGGATGGCCTTCGAGGTAAGGCTGGCCCTTATAGGTGTGTCCATCTGAATAGCCACAGCACTTAGGACTTACTGTATTTTTCAGAGTATTAAGAGGCACCAAGGTTTTGAAGAGGCACATTTTTTTAAAAAAAGGTTTTGCACTCTGCAGACCTCCCAAAAATGGCCCGTTTTTTGCAAAACTGGGCCCGGTTTTTTTCCAAGAAAAAAGGGCATGAATAGCCTTTAGGAGCCTTATAGAGTGCTCCGCGGGGGGGCGGGGGGATTTAGCAAAAAAGGTCCATTTTTTGCTCATTTCTGCCTTCCCCAGCCCCCAGGAGCACTCTGCAAGGCTCCTAAAGGTATGCACGACCATTTTGGTGAAGTGGGCGAGGTTTCAGGAGGCCAAAAATTCAGTGTATAAGACGTACCCAGATTTTCAGCCTCTTTTTTTGAGGGAAAAAGGTGCATCTTACACTCCAAAAAATACGGTACATACCGCTTCGTATACTGTAGCCTTCTCTCTAAGCGGTTTACAGAGTCAGCCTATCTGCCCCAAACAATCTTTGAGTCCTCATTTTGCTGACCTCAGAAGACGGGAAGGCCGAGTCAACCTTGAGCCGGTGAGAATCGAACTGCTGGCAGTCGGCAGAATTAGCCTGCAATCCTGCATTCACCAGCGGTTACTGGTGTGTGTTGCAGTGGCCTAGAGGTGGGGCTCTCTTCTCACCATCAGGAGGCTGGGAGTTCAATCCTAGGTAGAGGCAGATATTTCTCTCTCTCTTGGCACAATAAGAATAGATTTGCCCAACAAAACTCCGCCCTGGTGACAGGAAGGGCATCTGGCCAGTAATCATTCTGCTAGCTCCATTCAGACACTATCCCGCAAGGATTATGGGATTGTTAAACGAAGATGATGACCGCATTTTAAAAAGCAGTCTGGGAAAATGACACAACCAAAGCTGGGATTGATTGTTGGAGAAAAAAGAAACCGAGTCAGTGAACGTGGAAAATAAATTGCTTTTTTCCTCCCCTTCTCTCCCTCCCTCCCTCTCTACCCCCAAAGATATTTGATAGAGATATTAAGAAAGAATCGAAGGAAGTTCCATTGGAATATCAGCCAGCCCGAGGCCTCTTTGGGAAAAAAGATGATCTCTTTGCAGAATACTTTTCACTGGAATGACTGCCGGGTAAAAATGCAATAAATACCTTCTCTCTCTCTTTCTTTTTAAAATTTAAAGTATTATGCACTGCAATTCTTGGTGCACTAAGAAGGTGGGTGTATTTCTTCACTGCTTGTTTTCCCTTCACAGTTGAGAGTTGGTTTGTTCTGAATTTCAACATTGGCCAGCAGAGAGCAGCAAAATGACTGTCGGAACTTTTAAGGGGGGGAAAAATCCCATAGCTAATAGCAAGAAGGCAATGACCAGATTGTTGTTAGTTGGGAAGTTGTGTCCAACTCACTGCGACTCCATGGACAACGTTCCTCCAGGCCTTCCTGTCCTCTACCATCCTCTGGAGTCCATTGAAGCTCATGCCGACTGCTTCGGTGACTCCATCCAGCCACCTCGTTCTCTGTCGTCCCTTTCTTCTTTTGCCCTCCATCGTTCCCAGCATGAGGCTCTTCTCCAGGGAGTCCTTCCTTCTCATTAGGTGGCCAAAGTCTTTGAGTTTCCTCTTCAGGATCCGGCCTTCTAAAGAGCAGTCAGGGTTGATCTCCTCTAGGACTGACCGGTTGGATTGCCTTGCAGTCTAAGGGACTCAATGCAGGAGTCTTCTCCAGCACCAGAGTCCAAAGGCCTCAATTCTTTGGCGCTCAGCCTTTCTTATGGTCCAAATTTCACAGCCATCCATGGCAACTGGGAAAACCACAGCCTTGACTATATACACTTTTGTTGGCAGGGTGATGTCTCTGCTTTTTAGTACACTGTCTAAATTTGCCATTGCTTTCCTCCCCAGGAGCAAGTGTCTTTTAATTTCTTGGCTGCAGTCCCCATCTGCAGTGATCTTTGACTTACAACCTTATTTGAGCTCAAAGTTTCTATTGTTAAGTGAGACAGACGTTAAACAAATTTGATCCCCTTTCATGCACCTTAAGTGTATCACTGTCGTTGTTAAGTTAGCCTGGTTGTTAAGTGAATCTGTCTTTTTGCAATAGGGGATCGCATGACCCCGAGACATACCAACTGTCATAAATACATGCCAGTTGCCAAGCATCTGAATTTTGATCGCGTGACCATGGGGATACCGCAAAGGTCTTTTAAGTGTGAAAAACGGTCATCAGTCACTTTTTTCAGTGCCGGCATAACTTTGAACGGTCACGAAATGAACTGTTGTAAGTCAGGAACTGTCTGTAGAGTGGAGGGTTGGAGACCTGGTGTCAAGCATGGGAAAATCAGGAAATCCAAGCAGTTCAAATGAATATTAAGGTTTATTGCAAGCTTAAGCTCTCTACAAGAATCTGATCTACTAACATTCAAGGCAAATCGTTGGTAAAGTCAATGGAATTCGTCGAGAGCTGGACTTAGATTTCTTGTGGGCGCAAAGACTGATGGCATGTTTGGCCCATCCTCGCAAACTCCATACCTTGCTATCCACTGATAATGTTATCTAGTTGGGTCACGAAACGTCTGCAAGGACACAGTTGGATTACTGCATCCAGTTGTGATCATCACAATATAAAAAATGTTGAGATCCTAGAAAGTGCAGAGAAGAGCAACCTAGATAATTAGGGGACTGGAGGCTAAAACATGAACGGTTGCTGGAATTAGTTATGCCTAGTCTAGGGATAAGAAGGATTAAGGTTGGCATGATAGCAGTCTTCCCCCCCCCTCTGACCACACAAAAAGACCCCAAAAGGGGAGACTCTCTGCAGCAACACAAGTGTTCATTGCACGTATCCGGCCCAGGGGTCGTAGTTTGAGGACCCCTGTTTTAGTGCAATATAAAAAATGCAAATCATTTTTCTGCAGATCACCAACATTTTCTCCAGTAGTCCACAAACCACCAGTTGGTGACCGCTGGTTTAGAAGTCCTCTGAAGTCCCTTTCGGCCCCATCATTCTATGATTTTATATCAGCCAATTCCCAGTTTTAATTCAAGCACATCCTTGCAGTTTGCCATTTACATTTTTTTGCATTGCAGGCAACCATAAATAATGCTCATTCCAGGCCTGGCTATATGCACATTTCCACAAAAAAAAAAAAAAAATCTCCCATCCTATCAGCTTTTTTATTTCCCAGGTTGCTCTTTAAGCTTAATAAAGTACCTTCCTCATTTTTGGAGAGGTTTATCTCCTCCAGAATGAATAACCAGAAGACAACCCCTTGAACAAAAATTAAAAACAAAAGCCTGGGAAAGATCATGTATGCATTTAAATTGCTCATTCTCTCTCCCTCCCCCCCTTCCCTCCCTCCCCCCCTCTCTCTCCTTCGCCCCCTCCCTCTCTCCCGCTCTCTCTCTCTCTCTCTCTCTGGAAAAGAAGAAAAGTATTTTGTTGCATGTAAATTAATGGCTTTTTTTTTGCATTTATAATTACACCGAAGAACAGATGGGATAACTCTTCTTGTGAATCAATTCAGCCATAAAAAAAATAATATCGTGAAATACGTGGGGAGACCTTGGTGCTCCCTGAGCTGGGTGGTTTGCTTGCAGGCATCTCATTACCTGACTAGGTAACGTGATCAGTGCTGGCGAGGGTGGGGTTTACTCCCTGTTTACATCCCCACCAACATTAGTAGGCAATCTACTCTATATAAAACAGGGAGCAAACCCTTGTATCATTGATTCAGATAGTGAATCGTCTGTAAGGAAACCACCAACTGGGTGAGCCCCAAGGACTAAGACGCGGAGCTTGTCAATCAGAACGGTCAGCAGCTCACCGGTTCGAATCCTTAGCGCCACGTGAGCGTCCGTGACTTGTCCCAGCTTCTGCCAACCTAGCAGTTCGAAAGCAGGTGGTAAATGCAAGTAGAAAAATAGGAACCACCTTTGGTGGGAAGGAAACAGCGTTCCGTGCGCCTTCAGAGTTGAGTCATGCCACGGAGACGTCTTTAGACAGTGCTGGATCTTTGGCTTTGAAATGGAGATGAGCACTGCCCCCTAAAGTCGGGAACGACTAGCACATATGTGCGATGGGAACCTTTACCGTTATATTAACAGATGGGCTTGCATTTACATGGAATTTGGAGCTGGGCAAAAAAAACGAAGGCCCTTGATGGTGCTTTAAACCTTCATTTTCATCTCAAACACCGGAAACAGGATTTCTCGGCCTTGGCTCAGATGATTTGAAAACGGGGAGGCTGAAAGCTAATCAATTTCCCTACCGACACAAATCTCTCTCCCTTATCTGTACTTACAGGCTGTAATCCCATATTTACATAGAAAATACTGTTGTGGTAGCCAGCAATTCTATAATAGATAAGCTTTGGGAATCCAAACAGACTGAAAGAGAGGGGGAGAGAGAGAGAGAGAGAGAGAAATATTCTCACGTTTTCACAACATCCCCAACCCCATATATTTGCAATATTAGCTCCGTTGGGCTTGCAATGGAAGGCGGTAAGAAGAAATGTCTAGAAAGAAACCAGCATTTAAACATCTGAGGAGCACATTGCAATCTTCAAAAGAAAAGTTTCATGATGGGGGAGGGGAAGCGAAAGATCCAGATGTGTGACTGATGGACTTGTTGAAAAATTTGGTGAAATGGAGCAAGGTGTTCTGACGGAGGCTTCCCGAGAGCAGGAAGCAAAAGCTCCCTTTTATTAATTGACTCTGAATTCTACTCATTCACATCCAGCAAAGTCTTTCGAGGGAGGATTTACAGTCACAGACCTTCTCTGGCTTGGAGAGCTGCCAGGCCGATATCTGCAGAACTTGGCAAGGAGTCTCGGAGAGTCACGAACCAATGAAGTGAATTAATTGTCTCCTGCAAACTCCACTCCCCTTTTGCTCCTCTTTTATTCCCTCTGGGAGGGGCCATTCATCATCCACCTGTAGCCTTACTCCCAAGTCGACCCCTGTTCTTTTCATCTGGCAACTCTGCGTATGCGCACACTGGGAACAGGCTCCAGCTGTTCTTCTGCCTCACTGATGTCTGACGATTCTGAAGGCAGCTGATAACTGGCATACGGCTCTGGCCCTCTCTCTTCCTCCAACACAGAGCCCTCATCAGAGCCTTCCCCAGACTCCAGGACTGGCCTATGTTCCTCTCCAATGAACATTGTGCTTTTCTTTCTTTCTTCCTTCCTTGGTCTCCCTCTCTCCTCTTTCTCTTCTTTCCTCCCTCCTTCCCTCCCTCCCTCTCTCTCCCTCCCTTTTTCTTTTTTTCTCCTCACTCCCTCCCTTTATTTCTCTTCCTTCATTCCTCTGCCTCTCTCTCCCTCTTTCTCTTTCCTCCCTCTCTTTTTCTTTCTTACCTTTTTCTTTCTCTTTTCAATTTCTCTCCCTCTTCTCTCTCTCTCTCTCTTTCCCCCCCGCAATGCTTTCCACAGTCCGTGCATCCAATTTATATTCCCCAAACGACCTGAAGAAGTGATTAGAGTATAAAATAAAACAAAATAAAACCCAGATCAAGTCCCACTGACTCCATTAAGTTATGGGGAAATTTGTGCGGAATTGCAGTTTTCCTGCAGCCCTGCAACCCACTGGTTACTTAAGAATTCTGATGGTGCTTTTATAATGCTTGTGACACGTCCAAAATCATTCAACATACTTTTCTAGGTGTCCTGATTTTTAAAAGAAACCAGAGTGAGAGTTAGCTTCAATAAAACGTCAGTGTCGGTACATTGATTTCTAAGACAAGGTTGAGTAATTTGCTTTGCTTATTATCTAGGAGGGCGAGGGGGAAATGAATAGCTTTGGGAAACAATGCTGCATTATAAGCTATGCACTAGTTTATATCCACAAGCTGATAGCAGCAATTTGTAGCCTTCGTAAAATCTGTTTATAGATATATATTTTTAAAGAGTTTATTTTGTTGGAAATAAAACCTGCTCTGGTTCCGGGAGAAGGATGCAGGAGTCGATGAATTTGGAGGCAAGCTGCAATTGGAAAGGAGGTCTCCGTTTATTTAGGAACCAGAAGCGAAGTGATTCCGGTTCTAGGACAGCTGATAGCCTGGCGTGGAGAGTAGAGTGATTTTTTAAATACTTTTTTGGACCTTTGAGGTTGAGATTGTTCTGACCTAGGCTTCCCCAGCAGCACAAAGCTTAAGTCCTCATCCCAATAAGCCCCTTTTATTTAGTTTACAGTGAATTCCTCTACAGCAAATTCTTTCCTCTCCCACAGTCTTTCAAGATAGATCACAATTACAGACCTTTATCAGGCTTGGAGAGTGGCCAGGTCGATATCTTTCAGATGCCGCAATATTTGGCAAGAATGCAGGAATGAACTAATGGTCTCCTGCAAACTCCATTCCCCTTTTGTTCCCTTTTTATTCCCTATGGGAGGGGCCATTCACCATCACACTGTGGCCTTACTCCCAAGTTGACCCCTGTTCTTTAGCTGTTCCCTTTGTCTGGCAACTGCGCATGCGCACACTGGGAACAAGCTGCAGCTGTTCTTCTGCCTCACTGATGCCTGACTCTGAAGGTAGCTGATAGCTATCAGATGGCCCTGGCCCCCTCTCCGACGCAGAGCACTGGCATAGGCACCGCTGGCTGGTCCTTTGCTGTTTCCAGGGTGGCCCACCAGGCCAGATCTAAGCATCCTGTGGGCTGGATCTGGCCCCTGGGCCTTGAGTTTGACACCCCTGGTATAAGGTCTCCTGCTTGAGCAGAGGGTTGGACTAGAAGACCTCTAAGATCCCTTCCAACTCCAGCATATATATGCTGGTCTTGTTGTATTTGGGTCTTTTCCTGTGTAAGATTGTCTTGGCAATGTTTCGGTGAGGTCCCACTCACCGTCTTCAGGCTGGTGTTTTCAGCTTCGTGTTTGTGCGGGTAAAGCATGGTCGGAGCTGCCGTCTCTATAAATTTTGGTGGGGGTGGGTGGAGTGCTGGCCAAGACAATCTCAATCTTACACGGGAAAAGACCCGAATACAACAAGATCAGCATACCTACACCCGTGAAAATCTATGAAAACTATACATACATACATACATACATACATACATACATACATACATACATACATACATACACACACAGAGACACTGTATAAATGGCTGTGTGTGTTTGTGCATGTTCCAATATAACTGGAACGCTTCGAGCAATTTCAACCAAACCTGGTACACAGATGACTTACCAAACAAATACTGTGGGGGATATGACACCTCTAACACCCCCCGGGGTGTGCGTTCTGTTATGATACAGCCTGTTGTGTCTTAAAATGGCTTCTACCATACTGCCTTAAAATGGCTTCTACTGTACAGCACAGTGGAGTTGCCCTGGTCGTGGCTTCACAGTACTCCATAAGGGGGCTCCCTCTGGTAAGGGGGAAAATCCAATGTTAGAAATTGCGGTGACATTCTTGGAAGGAGCGTTGGGATAAATAAATAACCGGGCATTGCGCCTTATCCTCTAGTTCAGTGGTTCCCAGTGGTTCTGCTGGCTTGAGAATTCTGGGAGTTGAAGTCCACAAGTCTTAAAGTTGCCAAGTTTGGGAACCACTGCTCTAGTTCTATCTAACATTGGAAGCCTCTTTTGCAGGAGAAAAAAAAATGACACTTCCTTGGGCAACGGAAAGATGATAGGTCTTAATTCCAGCATGTGGAATTAGGCCTGGCAAACCATAGTCCGTTCCAACTGCCGGGAGAGATGGCAACTTTCCCTAAACTTCCTTTAGAGACTGCCGTAAAACCCCCTTTAACCTTTGGGTCAGGTTGTGGCTCGTTTGCAGAAAAAAACATGTCGGGTCGCAGAGAAAGCAGCTGCTGAATTTGACAAATGCACAACCCAAAATCCCGGTTGGCTGGCCGCATCGAGCGGAAGAGCAGGTAAAGGTCAGGCCACACAATGCGTGACAGACAAAAGCTTGTTCCTGCCCAAGTGACAACAGTTGCCCCCCCCCCCCGCCTCTTAGCGCTGTAAATCCAGCATGAAGCCAAAGCAGCCGCAGCAAATGCTGAAATATGTTATTAGACTGCTGGAAGGGAAGCGGATTGCAAATGTGAACATTTGCTAAGTTTTGTGGGCCAACGGGCAAAATGTCTTCGAACTGGTCTCCTGCGCTTGGACAAGTCTTGGAGGGTAGAGTTCTGTTTTTGGAAAGGTTCTACCAGAAGTGTGATGATAGTTCAGTGTTCATCATCTCCTCCTTCTTCACCACCATCTCCTCCTCCTTGATCTGACTGTGGCTGCCCAAGAGCATGAAGCAAACTCCTGGTCCCGATAAAAAACCCTTTTATTAATTTACCGTGAGTTCTGCTCATTCACATCCAGCAAACACTTTCAAGGGAGAATTTCCAGTCACAGACCTTATCTGGCTTGGAGAGCTGCCAGGCTGATATTTGCAAAACTTGGCAAGGGGTTTTGGAGAGTCAGGAACCAATGAAGCAAACTAATTATCTCCTGCAAACTCCACTCCCCTTTCACTCTTTTATTTCCTCTGGGAGGGGCTATTCATCATCCACCTGTGGTCTTCCTCCCAAATTGACCCCTGTTTAGCTATCCCCTTCAACTGGCAACTCTGTGCATGCACACACTGGAAACAGGCTCCAGCTGTTCGTCTGCCTCACTGATGTCTGACTCTGAAGGCAGCTGATAACTGGTATATGGCTGTGCCCCCTTTCTGCCTCTGACA